GGGGGCCATCAGCTTAACCTGGAGGAGAGAGTAATGGCCACAGCCCACTGGCAGCAGGGGATGAGTAATTTAATGTTGCTAGGCAATTAGTGCTGCTGGGGGAAGCCTTTCATTTAAAATTCTCTTTAAACCATATGTATCATGGCTCAGGGGATAATTTATGTATCATTAGGAAGTAGGAAACATATATCACACTAATAAATTGTCTTCCCCATTCACCACAGCCAGCAGCTCCCGAGGGTCTTTAAGAAGTCGGGCTTCTGCTGTCCTTATTATGCAAGGGTGTGACAGGGTCCATGTTCTCATTTCCTCCCTAGCTCACTCACTGGCAAAGACTAATGGCACAGAAACATTGGCCATGCTTTTTACAGCTGTTTTTTGGCAGCATTTGCTATAAGGGGCCCCATGCAGAACAGCCATGCAATATATTGTTTCCCTAACAGCTTAAGCATCTATTTAGAGATTCGGTTTATCTCTTCCAGGGCTGATGTTAGCCATGCCACAAATCCTTCAAATCAAGGTGGCTGTGGAAGCACTGGAAAATTTGCAGGGTTTGTGTTTGGGTCTCAAAAGGCCAAGAGGGTGAAAATCCAACCCTGAGAAGGATGCTCTTCTCTGAAAGACATGAGCCCAGTGCCCCGAAAGGGATCACATCTTCATCTACCTCAACAGCACAGGCCCTGACACCACCATCCCTGTGTTCATTCTCCTCCATGATCAGATAAAAAGTAGCCCACAGTCACATATTTGTGGGGACATGAAGGATGGCATTATTATGACATTTTTGTTTGTCTGTTGGTGGTAGTAGTGTCTTGCTTTGGTCTTATTTAGTTTTGCTTGTTTGTCTATTTTGTGCTTTTGAGGAACTGAACTGTGTGTTTATTAAGTAGTCAAGGACCTTGAATTTCTGATTCTCCTGCTTCCACCTCCAGAGTCCTGGGCTGACATTGGTTTATTTGGTGCTGAGGATCAAAACCAGAACTTCCCACAGGCTGGGCAAGGCTCTACCATCTGAGCTCCCCTCACCCCCCTCCACCCAGGAGACTGTGAATAAGCAGTTCCATAAAAAGACTCGGGGGAAATGTGGCTAACACTTGTGAGTGAAATAGATCAACGAGAAAGGGCGATAGACTGTGGGAGTCCAACCAGATTACACACCCCAAGAGGAAGAGAACAGAGGCCATGCAAAGATGGGGAAGTAGTTATGAAGACAGAGGAAAGAAGGAGGCAGAAAGGACCAAGCAGAGTAGGTGGTGTTTACAGCAGGGAGAGCACTCTGCATGAATGTCCAACAGTGGGTGCTATGTCACATTCTCCCATCCTTCATGAAAGTCTAACAGTGGGTACCATCACACAGCACCACCAAAAGTGAAGCCTAATGCAGCTATGAGCTGTGGGTGGCAATGAGCCCGTGCAGTTTCACAGATGGGCTTGACATCCAATGTACCATTCTGTTCTGGGAGCCTGGTAAATGGAGAGGCTGGGCACCTGTGGGAGGAGAGAAGCCGTGAGAATTTTCCTGTGAACCTAAAACTTCCCTAAAAAGTAAAGTTTATTGTTTTAAGAAGTGCAATTCCAACTCCAGTTCACTTATTTTTAGTATATAGTTTAATTAAAAGGTTCACTTGGCGTGGCACATACCTGTCATCCTAGCACTCAAAGAGGCTGAGGCAGGGGGATTTCTGTGAGTCCAAATTCCTGCAGGGCTACATAGTTAGTTCCCGGTCAGCCTGGATTACCCAGGATGATCCTGCCTCAAAAACAAAGCAACGACAAATACAAATACAAGCCTAGGTTTCTAACCCTTTCTTACAGGCATGCTTCTTCCGAAATGCTATAATCTCAACAGAAGGAAAAATGAAATTGTTTAAAGCATGCCTCAGGGGCTGGAGTGGTGACTCAGCAGTTAAGAGCAACTCCTGCTCTTGCACGCCACCTCAGTTTGGTTCCCAGCACCTTTGCTGGGTGTCTCACAAACTCCATTTGCCGGGGTTCAATATTAGATTCTCTGAGTACTTGCACACTGAGATATACAAAACAAATCAGATAAATGTGTACTTTTTAAATTAAATTTAGGGCTGGAGAGATGGCTCAGCCATTAATGACTAGGCTCACAATCAAAATTAAATTAAATTAAATTCAAATCTAAATTTTAAAAGCATGCCTTTAACCATTGAGTAAGTCATATCAGGGTGAGCTACTATCCTTGCAGAGCCCACTGAAAAATGAACACATAGGGCCTCTTGTCCGAAATACACTAAGAATTCCAGAGTTTTGATGACAGGCCATTAAGCCAAGTGCAGGGCCCTTTGAGAATGCGCAGGTCATACCACCACCAAGCTGACCCAGATACTATCCGGGACTCTCAAGTGACACAGAAAATCCCTCCAGTTCCTGGGCTGTGGCACGCCTTTTCCTGCACTGTTGGCACACAGAATTCTGTGCTTGGGATAGCTCCTGGGTCCTCTCCACCCTGTCATAGAAGAGGGGTTCACATATGCTCTGAACCATGGGAGGTTCTAGGTATTTGGTAGTGAACACAAAGTTGAAGTGTTCAAACTCTAAGTCAGACAGAGCAAATTAAATTTGCCAAACTCACATGAAAATAATGGTGGAACCAATTCACAGTGAAGTCAGCTGGTCCAACGTTACTGCAAGAAAGGGCTGTCGTAGGTAAGGGAATCACAGCACCTGTAGTGTCAGCAAAGGACTCTGGCCAGCACCAGAGGACAGTTCCCGAACACACTTTGCTAGTGACCTTTGGACTCCTGGTGCAACGCCAGAGCCAGGCTATCTTTAGGTGAAGGCGTTCGGGACTGCTGTTTGCTCCTCAATAAGAAGTTGTGCCATGGGCTTCCTGTGCTCATCAAGGCTGCAAGCCTGGGTTCTCTATGGGCCAGGGTTCCTCTAGATGCTGAGTAGAATGTGATGAAAAGCTTGTCATGGTTAATCTCATCAACTTGATGTGATTAAGAAGTGCCCAGAACATTAATGCATCACACCTGGTGAGACTGTGAGAGCATTTTGCTAAAAGACTGATTTTGGAAACAGAAAGTGAGGGAGCATTTCCCCTTTCTCTGCTTCATGAAGGAGGTATGTGTGAACAAGCAGCCTCGTGCTCCTGCTGCCATAGCCAAGAGCAGTTCCCAAAGCCATGCCTTGTCTTTTCTTCCATGATGGGTTGGCTGTGCCTTCAATTCTAAGTCTGAATAAAAATAAAGTTTTCGTTGTCACACAATCAAAATTGTACTGTGGGGCTTTGGGTAAGGACCCCTCACCTCCTATACACCTGCCACATAGGATAAATGGGCCAAGGATGAAGGTGCCCTTTATTTTGCTGTTGGGCACATCTGGCTAAGGACACAAAGACTCCTGACAGAGGACTGGAGACTGGGAGAGTCTGTGTTCCTCAGGATCTTTACTGTCTCGTCTGGACAGTTGGGTGACCAGCCCCAGGACGTTTAGGCTGCCTCAGCCTGAACACTCCACACCCACTTGTGGACTTCGAGGGTTGGATTTTTGTGCCCCTAAAGTCATACCCAAAACAAAGTCCACCAAGAGTGTACAGTAATCACACAGAAAAAATGAAGCTCTCCCCAGCCGGCCACGAATAGATGTGCACACTGTAAACCAAGCAAGATGACTTGATAGTGAAGAATTAAGAGCCATGCCGCTTCCTATGAACTTTAGTTTGACTCTTAATTTTTACAATCTCCATCTTGCACATGGGGAGATGGAGACACACTGTGTGGTGTCCAGAGATGCCCAGAAGAAGACCCCTGACAAACTAGCTCTGAGGTGAATGTTCTGTGCCAGCACCACGCATGAATGGATGGCTTCTGCTCCTAAACATGGCAGAGGATGCTGTGGAAAGGGGCTCACAGTCTACACTAGTGCCACAGTCTGCAGGAACCATGAGACTCAAATCTCAGTCACTGAGATTTTTCACCACCACCTCAAGGCAGACAGTGACTTGTCCAGAGCTCCAAACCCACAGGCTGCGTGGAACTGTAACTCAAGGGTCTCCCATGCCGGGCTTGTTTCTGCCATGCCAAGCCAGCAAGCTTAAGATATTATGTGCACCTTTGACTGTGCCACAGTAACCCAAGGAGGCAATTTCTGCAAGAGATAGAGAGTCTACAATGCAACTAAGAGGTTGGAAGATGCATCCCCTGTCACAGCGAAGTCCCCGGGTTAAGGTCTAAGAGAAGAGAGGAAATGGTTTGTCCCAGATTTGCCTATTAACAGTCACCATACCACATTGTTCAATGACATCCAAAATATAACAGTGAGAAAAGTGGCAAACAATGTTTCCATGGTGACCTTGAAAGAGATTTTTCTATCTGAAAGTACTAGAGCCAACCAGAAAAAAAAAAAAAAATGAAAGCCAATTTAAAAACTAGCTGAGAATGAGCTAAGAATGGGTGAGGCCATCATTAATTTTCTGTTCCTATGGCAGTCACAGCAGCAGACTGGAAATCTAGACTGTTCAGAGCCAACCATAGCCCTGAAATGAGTCGCTTGCTTACAACTTTAATGTTATTGACAGTATGATTTTTCTCTGCCCATATTTGATGTCAGCACATGATAAAGATCAAGGGTAAGGAGCAAGCAGAGAATCAGACAGATGGTTCTTGACAATGGGGTCTTGGGGTATGAACAATGCCCGGGAAATGTAGGATTTGAGATGCCAATTCAATTTCACTCAGCACCAGTACATCTCATGGCCCCTGAGATAGCTCAGCTATGCCATAAATCTATGTTTAAGGTGATCTTAATCTCCTGCCATTAGGAGTTTACTAAATAGTTTCTATGGACCAAGCCCCGTAGCTCCTCCAACACTTGTTCAAAAATGAGAGATCTCTCATGTAGACAAAGTGGTTAAGAGGGGTAGGACATGAAACTTCCACTTGGCAGCTGTCGAGAGACATTGCGTTTTAACACAGTAAGAATGCGAGACGACACCATGAAAATAAATTTATTTACGGAAACATACACTACATTTCTTTGCTTGACAAAGGTAAATCCCCACCACAGTGGAGATGACTCATGAAACAGGTGGCCACTCCAAGTTTAGCACCACTCATCTGTGTGTACAGGCCAGGGAAAGCTCAGCTGAGGAGATATCCAGATGTTCTGTTTCATCCCACTGCCTGTGCTAACAGACACTGTGTGGCATGCCCAAGAAGCGAGTTCACAGTACAACCAGCCAAGATCTGAATTCTTCTAGACATCTTTCTGTTAACGTCCGAGTGTCAGCCTTACATGGTTTGCCAGTTCTCCAGATTCAAGCCTTAATTTGGTATTGAAACCAAAAGTATTTCTATGCTGACCATGAAGTAAATGTCTTTAATTCCAAGGATCACATTTTAAAACAAATATTTTTCTGGCGATAAACATGTATCTTTACCTGGCTTTGAGCATTGCTTACACAGTCTGAAATGCTAGTATTTTTTTTCCATCCTAACATTTTGATGTCACAAAGGAGCAGACTACTGATAAATTTCATTATCACACTTCCATTACATTAAATCTCAGGAGGGGCCTACCCTCTACCCTCCACGTTTATTAAAGAGTAACTTGGAATGTCACTTCTGGTCAGCAGCTGGCAGACACCCCTCCTTTTGGATCCACAATTCAGTAAGACAATCTTTTAGTGAACTTCTGCTCCCTCCAGGGTCTCTGCGCTACCACAGGAGAAAGATGTTTGGACTTGATTGACATTAGCAGAAGGGTTTTAGTCAATGAGAATCAAGTGGTCATCACTTCCTCTCCTGTAACAGAAAAGTAAGAAAAAAGACAGCAATGACTTAAGAATTTTTGTTTGGGTAGCTGTGTTTTGTTGTGGTTGTTTTAGGTGTGGTCTTATGTAGCTCAGGCTGGCCTCAAACTGTGCAGAGGAGAATGACCTTGAATTCCTGGTCTTCTGCCTCCCCTCCCAGAAGGCATGCCTTACCATGCCTGACACTCACAGTTTTTAAAACTTTATTATTTATACAGCGGGGCTGGGGATCAAACTGAGGGCCTTACCCAGTCTAGGCGAGTGTTCTACCACTGAGCTACACCCCACCCTGACTCCCCAAAAATCATTACAAAAAGCCTAGGATAGTCTACATTCTAGATGCACACAGCTTACATGAGCTAAACGTGAAAGAGGAAGAAAACTGAAGAAAGGAAATGTGCGTTGTCTGAGGCACGGATAGACGCTTCTGGAAACAACCTAGAAGCAGCCGCCATCTCTCAGGACTCTACTCTAGCACAGGGCCAGGCACTCCTTCACAGCAGGGAACACTCGACAACTCTGTATCTGCTCAGCCAACCCTTTCTCTCCATGTGAGGCCCAGGAAGAGGACTCAGAGGCCGCCAGCCTCACCCTGACTGACTGCAGGCACCAAGTGGCTCAGAAGAGGCATGGGTGTATTCATCTGGGTACAACTTTGGGGGTATTTGTAGAGATGTTTCACTGAGAAGGGAAGACTACCCTGAACGTGGGGAGCCCTATTTCATGGGCTTGGGTCATGGGGTGAATAAAAAGGGGGGAAGAAGACTAACTGAGCACCCCCACTTATCTCTTTCTGCTTAGCTGTGTGAGCAGTGTGACCAACTGGTCACCAAGCTTAAGTTCTTCAAAGTCTGAGCTGAAGGAAACCCTTCTTTCCTTAGGTTGCTTCTCATCGGGCATTTTATCACAGCAGCAGGGAAAGTCACGAATATGAATCCACGAGAGCAAGGCAATCCCAAGAGACCTGCCTTACCCTTCCCATCCTTTAGGAGGTCATTGCCAACTAAGAAAATCAATTCTCCACAGCAACGATTTGATGCTCTGAGGCGATGAATTACAATCTTGAAACCAACTCAGAAGACCGCATTTTATGTTTGCCAGACATTCTTTACATGTGCTCAGTCACTGTGATGATATATTGTGTGATTTATTAAAGCCACTGGAGATTGAAATTGCAAAAGCAGCCATACTTGTTAGCCCTAGAGCTAGGTGGTAGTGGTACACACCTTTAATCTCAGGACTCAGGAGACAAAGACAGACAAAGCTCTCTGAGTTCAAGGCCACCCAGGGTTACTTGAGATTGAATCAGTCTAAAAGAGTAACAGAGCTCATGCCTTTAATCCTAGGACTCAAGAGAGGTATGTAAGACAGGAACAGGGTCTCAGAGCTGGCATTCGTTCTCCAGTCACATTGAGGATAGGAATGATTGGTTCTCCAGCCATTCTGAGGAGAGGCAGCAGTCTGAGACTCGGTGAGAGCTCATGGAGACAGGATCAGCCCTTTCAGCCTGGGGTAGAGGTAAGAGCTAGTTGCTTGGCTGCTTTGTTTTTCTTATCTTTGGCTTGAAGCTTGGACCCCAATATCCGTCTCTGGGTCTTTTATTATTTGTGTTACAAATCACCTCATTGCAAGCCCCAAGATGCAGTGTGAATCGTGTGTATAAGTTATGGTCTCCCCTCTTCCTGCAGGAATTTGAATTATAGAATCCTCCTCAAAAAACATGGGTACGGTATACCTTAAAAATTCCTACTTCCAGCCGGGCAGTGGTGGTGCATGCCTTTAGTCCCAGCACTCGGGAGGCAGAGGCAGAGGCAGACGGATCTCTGTGAATTCGAGAGCAGCCTGGTCTACAAGAGCGAGTGCCAGGACAGCCTCCAAAGCCACAGAGAAACCCTGTCTCAAAAAACCAAAAAAAAAAAAAAAATCCTACCCCCAACTCAGGTGAAAACACAGATGGATGCACTTAAGAAAACCGTCACCATATGACCTCCATCCTGGTCCCCACACAACTGTGTGATACACTCTGATCCATATCCTTTCTCTGAGAGTCCAAACGGCCAGCAAAGCAAGGCTGAGCACTGAAGAGCTACTGACGCATGCTTTTAACCAAGAACATGTTGGTGGCTTGAAAGATAATGTCCCCCATAGGCTCGTATATTTGAACACTCAATCCCCAGTTGGTGGCGCTGTTGGGGGGTATGGCTTTGTTGGTGGTGTTTCACTTGGAGTGAACTTTGAGGTTTCAAAACTTTAGCTCTCTTTGCCTTGTGTTTGTGGATCGGGATGTGGCTGCAGCTACTGCTCCAGTGAGTGTCATGCCCGCCTGCCACCATGCTCCCCACCATGAAGGCTGTGGCTTCAACCTCTAAATCAGTACACCCCAATAAACTCTGTCTTTCTCTGTGTTGCCTTGGTCATGGTGTTTTGGCAGAGCAATAGAAAAGTAACTAGGACAGACACCAACAGCCTCCTCTCCACTGGGTCTCCATCTGTCCAAGGAGCTGATTTGTACCACATTCTGGAGGGGAGAAACATATCTGAAATGCCTGGAAGTCCACCTCCAAAATACCTTTGGTCCCTTCAGAGTCCACCGTTGGTCCCTTCAGGGTCCAGCCTCTTGACTTGGGTCGAAGTTCATCTCCTCATGAGGCACTTATAAGGTCCCTAAGAGTTTCAATCATGCCATGGAGTTTTCTACACAACCTTGTTGTATAGAACACTGTTTTATAAGAAACAATTCATTTCTCAAACAAATTTGTGTTAGGGAGGAAAGAAAAGAAAACCCAACTATTTCCCACCATAAGCTGACTTCAGAGTGCAGTATTAACTTTCTTCCAGCTAAAGACACAACACTGACCTCCTCAGACAGCAGACACAGGACAGCAAGGCTGGTGGCTCTTTCTGGTACCCTTCTTTGCTACTGTGTTCCTTCAGGAATTTCTGCAGATCCGTTTCAGGAAACCCATTTTGCTGGTATTTCTTTGGAAAAGCACACACTGCCATTACCTCCTCTCTAGAGCATGAGAAATTGTTCCCTTTGTCAACAAAGCAAACCCACCTTTGTGAAATGACACTCCCGCAGTACCAGATCCAAGAAGGACTATGAACAATGATGACTCATTCTGTCAGTCCCAGAACAGCTAAGCCAGGGAGGCTATGGGAGCTGAGAACAAGGGAAAGGAAATCTCCAGAAAACAAACCATTGGGGAAGGGAGAAATGGTGTGTTGAAAAGAAGAATGAAAGAAATAGTCAGAACCACAAAGCTAGAGTGTTAATAATGAAACCAGCAGGCAAATGTCACTCTGTACACTGCCCACCTAGAATCTGCAATGAAAAGGCTGAGGACCATGTACATGAAGAGGCTGGCGAAGGAATACAACCCAGACATAAGCCCCATTCTCTGCATACGTGGAAGGTGACCACAGAGTGACACAGAGGGTAGATTTCTGTCAACAGACAGAAAACACCTAGCTTCCAGTCATGGTTAGTAAGGTCATCCAGCTCAGCACTGATACTTGCCCCACATAAGGACACTGCCATGTCAAAGACATGAATCCTTGTGACAAGAGCCGGCAAGTCTACCCAACACACCCTGCAGCAGGGACCAACTTCCATGCACCCTCTGACTCTAATCCCTCATACGGATCACCGACAGCTTTCTTCTGAGTTAGCCTGGGAAGGGCTGAGCAGAGGGCAGCACCCTCTGTGGCTTAGGTGCTGGTCCTGAAGTGCTTTGGCCAGCACAGCCGTCCGCTGTGGAGATAACAGCTCCAAAGATAACAGCTCCTTAAGTTCTAAATGGACCTCACAGGCCCATCTGAAAGGGTGCGGGGTACACCATGGCTCAGGAAAGCTGGAACCTTCCTGTTCTTTACCTTAACAATGGGGCACTACATGCGTGCCTATCACCAGGTATGAGGTATGTCACTATCTACCCAGTTGCCAGGGTGACAATCAACTCCTATCACTGGAATTTATCCTGAAACTTGCGTCCCAGGTAGCCACGCAGGCAGAAGCACCTGGCAGTGCCAAGAGCAGCCGTCTGGTTGTTGAATTAATCATACCCAGCTTGTCTGCCTTCCCTCTTTCCCAGCATACCTCCAAACCAAGCCACCTTCATCAGGGCAGCAAGTAAAATGTTTTAAGTACTGTGTTGGCCAGTTTTATGTCAACTTGACACAAACTAGAGTTATCTGAAAGAAAGGAATCTCAACAGAGAAAATGCCTCCATAAGATTTGGCTGTAGGGCATTTTCTTGATTAATGATTCATGGGCCAGGGCCCAGACATTGTGGGCGGTGCCATCCACAGCACCCCTCACCGCCATGGCCTCTGCACTAGCTCCTGCCTCCGGGTTCCTGCCCTAACTTCCCTCAACGATGGAATAAGATGTTGAAGTGCAAGCCAAATAAAATAAACCCTTTCTTCCCCAACTTGCTTCTGGTCATGGCATTTCATTTTACAGCAATAAAAAACCCAAGACAAGTCCATATTTAAAATTTGTCATCAGAACAAAAAGGTTAATTTTCTAAATGTTTAAAAACTTGAATAAAATTATATTTTAGTAAGATTACAGCCTTTTCTCATGCTCCAACCCACACAATGTTTACGGTGCTTTGGGGCAGCAAATACTGATTGTGACGTACCTTAATTGTGTGATAAGAATCGGTGATGAGAGCAATGAAAAGGCTGAGGACCATATATATGAAGAGGCTGATGAAGGAATACAAGTAGAGGCGGCTGAACAGCCACACCAGGGTGCTCTTCTGCTGGATCTGAGCGAAGGTGGCAAACATGTCATCACCGTTGACCAGAGAAAACAGGCACTCAGACACTATATTCAGGTTTTCAAACTGCAGGGGCAAACACAAAGGAACTCCTGAATCCTGGCACTGCATGGTAGGAAGCAGGGAGCTGGAGCTGGCGTGTTCTCTTCTAGCTGCTGTTATCATTAGTAGAACTGTAGTGTCTGTGTCTCACAGCCAGCTACGTATGGAAGTGGCTAAGACAACACAAGATCAAAGGGTTTTCCTAAGAGGCCATACCATAGTCTTGCCAACCACACTGAGGAACACTTTTCCAGGAACTTCCAACCTCCACAAGTGGACAGGCCACAGCTAAGATAGCCAGCAAGGTCCTGTGGCAGAGTTGGGGTGGGACATACAAGGCCAGTGGTGCACTGAACTAGTTCTCAGCAAGGGAAAGAAAAGGTTGTATTCATGACTATGGAAACAGTGACTATGGGGACATGTGGTGCCGAGACATAGCAATGGCTGAGCAGAGACACTTGTGACGAATTGCCCTCAGTGACGTGGGCATACATCAGGTTCAATCCAGCTCCCAAGCAGGCTTGAGTGAATGACATCTGAGCCATGGGAGTGACGTGATTTGACACATGCTTCTTTAAAAACTAATGGCACATGGGAGATCTCCTAGAGCAGGAGCAGCCCAGGGGCAGGTGCCAGTCAAAGGTGACATTAGGAATCCACTTGAGGCAGAGAGTCCTAACCAGAAAAAGAGACTCTGGAGAAAGTCTACCTGCAGGGAAGTAAGGGTCAGGGCTGGAATTATGTGATGGTGAATATTGCTGACACGACAGGATCCAGAGTCACCTAGGAGACACACCTCTGGCAGGTCTTTGAGGGGTTTTCAGAGTAGTCACACTTAGGTGGGAAGATCCACCCTATATATGGGTGGCTAGACATAGATATATGTGTGTGTGTGTGTAATCCATACTATAATATGTTATAATAACTATAACCAATATAATAATGCACTATATATTCCCAGGACTGAATAAAAATGAGAAAGTGAACTGAGCACCAGCATCCACCTGTCTCTTCTTCCTGACTGCAATGTGACCAGACACCTCCTGGTCTCACCACCATGATGACGTCCCCACCACAATGAAATGTACCCTCAAACTGTAAGCCAAAGCAAATTCTTTCTTTAGTTTCTTTTGTTAGCTATAGAAGAAAAATTACTAAACATAGGCTTTTAACAGACAGCTTTAGACCCAGCACATGTGAGGTACCAGGTGGGAACTCGGATGGTAGATGGGTCAGCTGAGGGTGTGCACACAGAGCTTAAGCACTGATCCGAAGCTAACACAGGGTATCACCAGAATCCACAGCCAGTCATCCCAGCTTTGAGAAGCTATCAAACTGCTATTCATAAACATGCTATTCATAAACATGTCCCAGTAGCAAGGGGTTTAAACAATAGATTACATGAAAAACTTATGGAGCAATAATGACTAAATAAACAAAAGACAGAATTTTCAATCAATTCTCAGGGTCTCTGTGTTCATTAATTGAGCATTGGGAACGAACACCCATGGCCTCAATAAACATCTGGGACATCTCCCCAAGAGGGAGGAGGGACATGCTGTCACTTTACAGGTAACAAAATGAGCCACCCATCATCCCACCCAAGAAAAGGGCTTTCCTTCCAAATTCCTCTGTCTGTAATTGATTACAGCCTCCAACCAAAAGAAACAAAATAATCGGATACATTCCACTTTGTGCTGGCTTGGCCAGTCTTCCCACTACCTTGGTCCTCTGAAGCTTTTGTCTTCCATTCTGATGTCACTGCTAATGCTGGCTTATTCCGGAAACTTCTGGGGAAGTCTTTTAGCATGCCAGTCTCTCCCTCCCCAATCCAAACTGAAAACAAGAACCCCAGATCTCATAGAGATAGCTTTAAAGCCATTTCTCTTGCTTATGGCCATGAAAACTGGAAACATAAGCACAGAAGTTTCCAGTAAGTCCTCATTCTGTGTTGCCTCATGGTTCCTGCTTGTCAATATTAACACTGGAGCTTAGCTCTTCCTATAACACATTTCCCTGGTAGATTTAATCTCTTCATCTCATATATTCTTCCTTCCTCTCTGTGTCAAACAAAGTCAACAGTCAAGGGCCAATTCAAAGTCTGCTTGGGGACAGAGCTCTGAGCCAGCTTCAGCCCCTGCTCCACTGTCAGCAAGAACTACAGGGAACATGGTAGGGCAGTCTTCTCACTGCTCTGAAATGCATTTCCACACCTCAGTTGGAGAGCAAACACCATATCGTACACGTGTTCTCCTACACACACTATCAGTATAAATGTGATGCCCATCTCAACATTAGTGTATTCATAACCATAATATCTCTCCCTCTGTGGTCAAAGAAGACCTGTTCCAACCTTCCAGGTTCAAGCAAAGACCCAGTAAGGTAATTAATATACAGGCTCATTTTTTCTACCACAAGAACAGATTATAACAGAAATCTATTTTAATGGCCAAACTCCAAACACATAAGCATAAAAGAGGCCCATGGTCAGGGACTAAAGTATCACCAGTTATATAGCACACTGGTCACCTCCTAAAAACAGCAAGTCCCCATGTCTAGCTGCTTTTCTTGTCACTGTGAACAAACGCCTGGCAAGGAGGGAGGGTTATCTTGCTCATGGCTTGAGGAAGATACACAATTCATCTTGGCAGCAAGTCAGGGCCGTGGGAGTGGACAGTAGCCACTTGCTCACATCTCAGTGGGACAACAAAGTCAGGGGGCTCCCCTGGTTCTCGTCCTTTCCCCTTTCTATTCATTCTGGGCTCTGATCCTTACACTGGTGCCACCCATGTTCAGGGTGAGTCATCCCTCCTTGCCCTAGAGGCATGTATCTGAGGTGATTCTCAATCTAGGCAGGTTGATCGTGCAGAGTAACCTGGAGACAGATCAACCATCTTCCAGAGGCAAACTTGCTGAGCACCTGACACATTCCAGGCCACAGGGTGGGCACTGGAAACATGAAGAGGAAGGAGCCACAATCTCTGCCTTCTAAGAGCACTTTCCTGACAGAGCTGTGTGTGCAGAGATAGTAAACAGCCAATAGGTATGTGTAGATGCACAGATTAAGATACATGGGACTAGCACCTGTGACCACGCCCATTTGGTGTGGCTGGTTGGATCTCTCACTTACAGGTATGTCCATTAAAAGTTCTGGCGTGTTCAATGAGATCACAGAAAGAAATATTTATGTCACAAATGACGTTTGTGAGCAAGTCAAAAGACCTTTCGTTTGAAGGCAGATATAACCTATATTTGCTTCAGTAAGGGAATGTTTAATGTTTGCTCCAAGAGCAGGTAGTAAGAATTTCTTGTAATATTTAGATTTATCATTTCAGCTGGCTTGTGATTATTTTAAATAACTAGGGTGCCTGGGCAATACTGCCCTAGCAAAGTGCAATGATTTTTCAATGCCTTGTTCTTCTTATTTATAAAATGGGACAATGCAAAAACAATTATTCATGCATCATAGTTTTAGAAAAAAAGTCCCCTGGAGACTGGAAATGTAAAAGCCACATTAGAGAAGTGCTAAATAATTCAAGACAAGGTTGGAAGATCATTGGCAGTCTTTAGCTCTCTGGGCCCAGACGTCTTCAAGAAGCATGGTGCCAAAGTCCATTAGTGCTGGAAATGGACATCGATGTGACACTTTTTGTTCCTGAGTTAAATGACTGTGATCAGATGCGTGGCAGGAAGACAGGAAGCTAAGGAATCTGGGGTGCTGATTCCCACTCAGTTGCATCGAGTGAGGATTTTCATGACAGTGTCTCTTTAGAGCATTTGTTGGCTTGTTTCTTTTAAACAATGAATTGTTTCCACACCTCAGGTTGCTGTGATTCTCAAACTACTAACAAATAACGCTGTGATGCCCAGTGGCTCAGAGTCATTCAATGGCTGGTGGAATAACCTGGACATTCTAGCAGATAAGGTTGGGTGCTGCCGCTGCTGGGGGCAGCACAATTTTCCAACTTTAAACTTAAAGCAGCAGCAATGTGGGGCAGCATCAGGCTGTCCTTCCTTCATTTGCTGGCCCATGCATTTACTGAGCAAACTCAGCCACTTACACGCCCAGACTATCAGCCTGACCAGAGGTGGTAGTACGACGTCATCGACTGACCAGTCAGGGGTGCTAGAGATACTGGGCATCACTTCACTTTGAGGGAGACAAAGGGAAGCTGGCACAAGTGAAAAACATGTCCAAAACTGTAGCCACCCACTATGTGTGGCTGTGGAGCACGTGACATGCAGTCTAGGAAACTCAGATGTTTGGGGATGTTGCTCAGTTGGCAGAGTGCTTACCCACATGGACATTCATGGGTTTGAGCCATAACCCTGCACACACAGCCTGTGATCCAAGGACTCAGGAGGAAGAGGCGGGAAGACGAGAAGTTCAAGGCCATCCCCTGCTATATTGCAAGTTTGAGGCTAGCCTGGTCCACATGAGAACCTGTCTCCAAAAACATTTTTACTAACTAGGATGAGACATGTGGGAAACCCCCAAACCACGAGACTTCAAAGAGGACAAAAGACCAAAGAGGAAGGCGCTGAGGCTCTTACATTGCTTAGGAGGCAAAGCTAGGATTTGGGCTTTGCTAGGCTTGACAGGATGCATAGTTAAAATCAACTCCGTCCTGCTCTTCCTTATTTTTAATGTGGATACTAGAATATTGTGAAATGTGCACAACGGCTGCGTCTGTGGCTCAGATTTTGTGTTCTTTGAACAGCACTGGCCCAGAGCACCCCAGCTCCACCCACATTCTTTGGAAGGACAAAGATGAACATACGGTAATGCAGTCGGGCTCTCAAAGCAGGTGACAAGTTTTCCAGAAGGTAATCTTGACACACATCAAAGAAACACAACTGATGAGGGGGCTTTTGTCTTACAGTTGAGCCACAGTACAGCCTGCTTCTCAGATCAAACTGGATGTCCTTTTATAATGGTTGGCATTAGACAATACAAAGAAAAGCACCAGGGGGTATAATCGGTCAAAGAATGATCCCTGAGACTGGGCAGGCCGGGTTTGATGCTGTGATTTGCCATCTGGGTAACCACAGAAAATGGCTGGTATGTTAAGGTTCATACTCTACGTAAAGGCTGGTATCGTCTCACAGGGAGAGAAGATCACGTGCTGTAGCTTGAACCTCAAAATGTCCCCCAAATACCCATGTGATAAAGGTTGCATCTCCAGACTGTGGCACCCTTAGGTACCCATAAGAGATAACACCTACTGGGGGCAGTACCCCCTTAAGAGGTATTGCCCACTGGGGGCCTGCCTTGAAGGAGTGACTGGGAACCCAGACATTCCTGTTCCTGTCTTTCCTTTTTGGCTACCATGATGCAAACAGGTCTCCTTCTCTTGTCCTGCACTGTCTGGTCACAGGCACCAGGGCCAAGTGACCCTGGACTAAAGCCATGATATAAAATAAACCTTTCTTTCTTCCAAGTTTGTCTGTTGGACATTTTATCTCAGAGGCAGGGGGCTAACGGGACCGGTAACAGGGGAAGGGTGATAAAGAACTTGGACAGCAAATGGGACTAACAAAAAAGCAAAGCATAGCAGCCATCCCATAAACTTCAAACAGTATTAACTGAGAACCTTCCAGAATAATAGTGAGGGATGGAAGAACAGCCAGAAACGAGTGACAAAGAACATAGGACCACTTGTCTGACTGTCTTGATGGAACCCAGATTAGGCTCAGTATTTATTCCACACGGTGCAACAGTGCCCTCTAGTGACAGAGAGGTGGAGACGCTCCAGGAGCAGGAGGCAAGCAACAGCAAGAAAAATGCAGTCTCTGGCTGGGACTTGGTCAGACAGTGAGCATATCAAAGAACAGCTTTTACCTGTGAGTCATCTTCAGAGAAGCGACACGAAACAGAAAAATCAATTGGCCCATCAGGACTTACTGTTAAGCCGCAGGCTGTCCCTTTGTTCACTAGACTTTTTTTTTCCAGTAAGAAAAATAGGGACTCTTTGGATACATCAACTGTGACAGAGAGGGAAGCCTGGGTGTTTCAAGCTGTGTAGGATGCAGGGGGGGGGAGAGTCTGGGTGTGTATCACCCCGTGAACAGCTTACCAACCACATGGCCGTTAATGTCAAGGTCAGAACTTAAGGTTGAGCTGTTACACAAACTCGGAGGAAATCCTGTGTTCTCTGCCTCATTTCTCCTTGCTGGGTATCTGAGGACACCAGTGTGTGCATGAAGGAGCTGTGTGTGACACCAGAGAGACCCTGTAATGTTCTTCACAGCACCTACCCCACTGATAATTGGTGCTAACTGCTGTCATTTCTACTGTTGTCTCAACAGCCAGGAGACCGGGGAAGAAACGCTGTAAGATGCACCGACTCTTTTTACTGTTTGGGTTGGAACACAGCTTGTCTGGTTTCTTCCCACGATGTTCTGTCAATCAGTTATGACACCTTCTTGAGACAAAGACTAGCCCTGAGCTCACTGTGGTCCAGGCTGGCCTTGAACTCACAGCACTCCTCCTTCCTCAAAGCTCTTGGGATTATACCATGCCCAACTGTCAGCCTGACTGTAAGCCCAACGGTCCTGGACTCATGACGCTTAAGGGAAGTAACAATTAGAGACTCCAATTCTGATCTTTGTTACTGTGGAGACCTGAAGCTTGGTCAAAGCCACCCTCACAGATGTGAGCTGGTTTCAAGAGAGATGAAGTGCTCAAGCCTGGTAGAGCTATCCCTCCTCTCCGTTCTCCTCAGCCAGTGGGGATGTCAAGCCTGCTACTTCACACTGGAGCGATTCTGCCATATTTTCCTTATATTTTAAGTTTTGCTAATAGTGATCTCATGTGCAAACATCTTTCATTGCTAGTCAGCTGGCTGACTGTGTCAGGTCCTCCACCAAGCCCAGACTACTCTGAGGGGAGTGTTCTCCCATCTCCTGCAGTTCTTGATTCTTGATCCTAAAGTCACCTCAATGTCCTGAAAACGAGAAGGCAGAGAAATAGAAAAGAAAGTCCTCTCGGCACTGACATCAGGGTGCTCACTGGAGAAGAGTGAAGGAGGCGAGCGCCGGAGGCTCCATCGAGGTGAAGGGCCCACCTGCCCTGGGTGCAGAGAGAATTACTGCCACTCACCTTCTCGTGGTACGGTCCCAAGACAATCCAGCCGCAGAAGGTGTACCCCAGGTAGATCATACCAGCACAAGCACAGAAGCGGAGGACTTTGGGCAGCGAGGCCTGCATGGTTAGGATGAGCACCTGAAAAACAGTTAAAGCGGTGGACGGGCTGGAGGGTGGAAGCAGCTGGTAGAACCCAGAGCATCAAGCTCGACACCACTTCTGAGCGCTTACATTGTATGTTTGAAAATAGCCCAAGTATCTGATGACTCCAACCCAGACAAAGAGTGTTGACGTCCCGAGCAAAATGCTGCACAGATCATAGTTTGTGAGGTTCTGAGGAAGGAAAAGAAGACACAGGTGAGGAAAACGGCCTGCTCTCCTGGGCTGGTTTACCTCCCTTTATGGGTGAGATCTGACTGTCCCTGCCTACATTTGCCACCCTGGCCCTTGGGGGCTGAGGCTGGAGAATGACCATGAGTTCCCAAGGCCAGCCTGGACTAGATAGTAAATCCTAGGGCAGATTTAACTACATAGTAAGTTCTAGGCCAGCCTGGGCTATAGAGTGAGACCTTGTCTCCAAACAAAAACGAAGAAGGGGGAGGAGGAGGAGGAGAGGAAGTAGTGAGGGGGAGGGATAGGAGGGGGAAGGAAGAAGAGAAGGACAAGGAAGTAGAGGGAAACTTCAAATGTTCGGTTTGTATTTTCTTTTAGCATTTTCATTGTGAACTGATATCTTTTCCAAATATCATTTTGAAATAGGACGCGCATTTACCACTGGCCTCGGCATGAAAGAACATGGTGTTTGTCAAATATCAAGCAATACAGCCCAGCTACTTTTGGAAGCAAACTCCAGTGTGATTAGCCAACATCGTTCCTGCTCTCAAGAGGTTCTAGGCTTCATTGAAGAGACAGAAAATAAACACAATTCTAATACAATATGCTGAATTCATGGAAGACACAGTGGCCACTTTTCACAGAGACTCTCCAATGGGCATGCCCCAGAGATAAGCTGGACACACAGCACAGGCTGGAGAGAAGTCTGCAGGCTCATGGACAGAGACTGAACGTCACCAAGGCTGAGATCTGGGGGGTAGGAGAGCAGGATGGGAGCCAGAGACCAGTGAGGAGGCCTTAGAGGCCGTGATGACAGGAGGCCACTTCATCTAGATCCTGGGAGGCAGAAAGCACTGTCACAGCAAGCTGGATATTTCCAGGAAGTTTGCCCAGCCACTGTACAGCTGGATCTGTGGGATGTAAGACTAAACACAGAAACACCAACAAGAAGGCTGCTGAGACAGTCCAGGCCAGAGGAAGTCAGCCTGAGAGAAGCCAGGGGTAGCTGGAATGGAGACAAGAGGGCAGGAGGCCCTGTAGCCAAGAGGAAGACAGCTCTGTAAGACTGACAGCGAACAGAAGAGAGAGTGGCTGAACAGAGGACACAGAGTCCAACTGTGAGAGCAAACCAATTAACTAACATAAACAACTGGTCAGACCTTGTAGACACTCAAGTACTCCTCATCCCTCCCTTAGCTATCAGGGTACACGGCACACACACACACACACACACACACACACACACACACACACCTGCCACTAGCTCTTCAGATATATTCAAGAGAGGTGACTGGTCTGTGTGCCAGCTGCTTCCTTTGCAAGCTACACAAGTAAATAGACAGATAAAACTAATTAATAATAATAATAATAATAATAATAATAATAATAATACAAAGGAAACTCCCAGTCTTCCCAGACTTCGATTCCTGTTCTAAAGATACAACTACACAAGCCTGGAGGAAGGCCGTAGACATCACCTTCCACAGTGCACACTCTTCCAGAGGAAGACTGAGGCAGCTTTATGTCATGGGTGACATAAAGGAGAAAACACAAGAATCATGCTGGTCTCCGGAAGCGTTCTGCATCTCACAGTGCCAAGATACAAGATCCTAGGTGGTATGTCACTTACCTTAGCCTTGATCTCCATCTTTAATACGGATCCAATTATTGTCATGAGGTCGCTGATAGTGACCAGGACATACCATCCATTGATGAACTCCCATTGGTCAGCATCGCACACGTGTCGCTTGTACTTCTCCAGGAAGAAGTTTAGAAATCTCTACCGCAAACATTTAAAAAGCATTTCTTACAAATCACACTGCCATCTGGAGGCAGAAGACAAGAGCGAACAGTTCCAAGATGGCTGATCTGCCTCATGGGGAGACACAATGCCACACACTGAGTCACATTGTCTACTCCAGGGTGAGCAAGCATTTAGACATCTGTTAAATTAACCCAAACGCTAACACTGCATATCATGGTCTCATTCAAACTGATGGATGGAACCCTTTGAACTAGGATGCTCTTGTGGTCCGGATATGAGCACTGTGTTCCCAATGCTGTAGCTGCGCTTGGCGGAGAGAGACCTCAACAATGGATTCGGAATATCTACAGGGTTGGAAGGCAGATATGGAGTACATATTTACAAAGTGAAAGTCAAGGGGCTGGAGACATGTCTCAGCATTTAACAGTACAGGCTATTCTTCCAGAGGTCCTGGGTTCAATTCCCAGCACCTACACAGCAGCTCACAACTGTCTGTAACTCCAGTTCCAGGAGATCTGATGCCAGCTCCTGGCCTCTGAGGGCACAGGTTGCACATGGTGCACAGACATACATGGTTCAAAACACTCATACACACAAAATAATAAATCTCAAAAAATAATTTAAAACCAACATGGAAGTCAAGATCAAAGAAAATAGACCATGGGCTGTTTCCTGCTCTGATGATGGTATTTCAGTGTCTTCCTGCTTCCTCCAGCCCCAGAAGGAACCTACACTCATGCCTCAAGCCAGAATAAGATACACGGTGAGCTGCAGTACATACTCCTGAGAATACATACTGGGAGAGGTAGAAGGTACAATGAACCTACTTAAAAAACCAAATCCAAGTATTTTACGCATCATTATCGCCCATTTACTGTGCCCTCTGGTCAAAGTGAACTCTTGCTTGAAAAGATGGAACCCACACATGCTCTTAAGATCATCCTGGAAATTAAAATTTTATTCTGGAAACTTCTAAATGCTTAGGAGCTTACTACAATACTTGTACTTGTTAGCTCAATTTCAAGCAGAATAATTATCTGACCTCCTGAAAGAAGTTAAACCTTTTCCTTCCTTTGAAAGTTTTGATGCATGCATATGTGCACGTATGAATGTTGACATGCGTGCAAAAGTGTGTACACATACATGTGGAGGCCAGAGGTGGAAGCCAGATGTCTTCTTCAACAACCCCCCACCTTATTCATTTTAAAGGTCTCTCACTGAACCAGCGAGCCCCAAGGAGCCTCCGGTTCCCACCGCCCCAGAGCTGGGTTTCTAGGCATATGTGGTCCGGTCTGGCTTTTTTATGTGTGCTGGGGATCAATCTCAGATCCTCGTGCTTGTGTAGCAAGCACTTTACCAATGGGCAGGTCCCAGTAGTCCCCAAGGCCTCTTCTTGTTTTCTGTACCGCTGGAGGGTAAAGGAAATGAAGAGCCCAGTGCCGTTAGAGGCTTGATGTGGGCGCACGCAGGCTGCAGACGGAGAGTAGAGGGAGAACGGGAGGAGCTGTGCTTACCTTCCTCAGCCTCAGAGCAAGAACAATGGACCTGGTGCACAGGATAAGGGATGCCAGGCAGACCATGATGACAAATGCATCAAACACCAGCACATAGTGAGTGCCTCTCTGGACTGCAGAACAAGGCAGAATGCAAATGTTAAGTACGCCTTGCACAAACTGTGGAGGATGACTTCCCACCAAATGGCAGCCTGAAGGGAAATTCAGAGACAAATCGATTTATCTATTGTTAAAACAGTAACTATCAGAGGCAAAATCAGACTGCATTCATTCAGAAGTCCACAGACAAACTAACACACCCTGGAGGGAAGGGCCAAGAACTTACAAATGTAGGCAATGTTAGTCAGTGAGCTAAAAACCCTTATACATATTTACTGTAAGGCAGAAATCAACATTTAGGCTCCACTCAAAAGACGTGAAAGTGCCAGTATAACCTGTCTCTTCACATGAAGAGACGGACGACAAGCTCGCCTTACTAATAAGAAAGCGAATTAAAATGCCATGCTGAGAAGCCACAGTTCCGCTCATCAGCTTCACCGTGCACTGAAACTAGTTTGCCTTGTAGAAACAGCTTCCAAGCCTGAGTTTGGGAAACACTGGTTCAGAAATAAGCACTGCTACTCTGACTAGGGAAGGAAGCCCCACACCCTACTCATCCCACCGCACTGGCTCAGGCTATACAAATTCACTAACTCCCACCCAGCAATAAGCAAATGGTATCCCATCCCCCATCAGCAGGGAGCCCTGCCCACCAGACTTCCCAAGCCTCCTTATAAACTCAAGTTGGTGAAGACCAGAAGCACTGTGGGGAGTGGCTATCAGGAGGCAGATGAGGCCCACCTGGGAATGGGGACACTGCCTGCGCTCTGAGGAGATGTGGGTAAATGTGGATAATGACGGGAGGGGGGAGCAGCCCAGATGCTGAGCAGAGGGAGGGGACATCAGAACACTGAGGAAACAGCGGCCAGAGCCCATCAGATGTTGCCTCTGCCCTTGTCTCTCAGGCAGGGCTGTTTAATCCACCACACAACTTCAAATGAAAGAGGGGGCCATCCCCTAAACTGGTTCCTAAACCTCAGCTTTTTAACAGTTTCACAAACCTTAACTTTATCTTAAGTGTATGTTTTCCTAGTGATGAGGTCCAGTTTCTTAAAACATGGCTGTAAGAACAGCACATTTTAGCCGTTTTTTCCCACTCAGGTCTGTGTGGCATGTGCTTCTCACTGTTGGCCACAAGGGGGAGGTAGAGCTCCTCCTTTCTGTACATAGGTGTAGGTGGGGCGGGGGAGCCCCAATGTCTAAGGAGCCATGGTCTGGGGACCCCGTGACACCCTTTGATCCTGGTGGTGACTACTGAAAATCACATTTTAAATATGGCAAAGGTGACTTTTCCCCCACCCCAGGACACAGCTGCAGCGTTTACTTGGACTTGGGGTGGCGATCTGTGAGTGAAAGAGTCTCTGCTGTGGCCAGGAAACCACTTATCAGAACCCAATCTGGGTGTTTCCTTTAGGAATGACGGAAACCCAAGCTAGAAAATAAAAAAGGAAACTTCAAAATCATCAGTCATTGTACAACTGGAAAAGGAATGGGCCACAATTAGAATAGAAATCACACGTCTCCTATTTTATCTTTCTGGTCAGGTGACTCAAAAGGGAATTCGTTTAAACAACGCTTGCCAATTCACAATGCTAGCCATCTTTCAGAGACAGCGCCCTGACCACTGAACAACCAAAACGGGCCTAGGCTATCCTCCTCTAGGTTACCCCTGTGTAACCTAGGCTGGCCTTGAACTTGAAATCTCCCCGCATGCATCTTCCTCCATCGTGCTGGGATTGCAGGTCTGTGGCACCACCCCTAGTGCACCAAGGCCATCTTAAGCAGATGGACCATGAGGTGACTGAGGAAATGTCCCATGTCTATTCAGACTGCCGTCTGCACTCTGGGGTCTTTTCTCTGTTGTTCAAGGCTTGGATCAATTCCCACTCAGCCCTGGTCAAATCTATCACTTTCCTTCTTCCTCAGACCTCTCATACTTCCTACCCATAATGCACTAGAGATCTGGTTGGTCACTGCAGTCTCTCTCACTAAGCCTTTTTCTCCTCTGTTAGAGCCGAGCAACAATGAGGACACCTGTTCTCAGCACAGAGTGCCTACACTGTTGACAGTCTGTCACTGCTCTTGCTCTGCAGAGAATTCTAAGACAGAGAGGCCAACGGCAAACAGAACCAGAATGGAAGCCCAGGCGACCTGGCTGCAGAGGCTGATCTAAGCCACTGTCTCATGCTAAGTCCTCCAGAGAAGCAATAAACCCTTGTTTACTTGGAAAGAAGCCTCGAGACTCATGTTTGAGTTTTGTTTTTATGGAACTTTTTCCCCTGCCACCATTGATCGATAAGAATCACATAGGTTCTCCAAGTCCCAAGCCATCTCGTAACACACAAAGGGCACGTTGCACAGCACACTTACTAGATCCAGATATATTCATGGCTTTACATTCTTCTATGTTGGCCTCACTGTTAAAATAGACTTTGACTTTTCCGCTGTGAGCTGTGTTGTCGAAGGTAATCTGGAGACAGAAATGGAGAGGTTAGTGTCCAACAGGAGGTGAGAGTCACTAGCTCACCTACTTATGAAAGTCAGCAGCAGCAGCGGGCCCATCTGAACACTGATACAGACGTCACACCCGTGAAAATGCCCCGGCACGTGGGCTTTGCTATAGTTCCTGTTACTGTGATAAACACTGGCCTTAAGCAGCCTGAGGATATTTCAGCTTACAATTCCAGGCTCTCTCCACCACTGAGAGGAGTCACAGCAGGAACTGAAGGACACACCCACTGCCTGCCAAGGGAGGCTGCTTACAACTTTCACTTGGCCCGGGACCACCTGCCCAGGATGGCAGTGCCCATGGTGGGATGAGCTCTCCTATGTCAGTCTGCAGCCAAGATGTTCCACTGAGCTGCTGACTGGCCTGTCTGATCCGGGGAACCCTCTAGTGGACACTCCCTCAGATCACCGTGGGCTGTGTCAGGCTGACAGCTGAAGCTAACTAGGAGGGTTCTTTTACAGATTTCTTTTAGTAGTGAAAAATCCAGTGTAATGGGTTTCTGTGGGTGTCAGGGATCTGAACTCGGGTCCTTATGCCTTAAATACTGAGCCATCTTCCCAGCCCAGGAATACAGTTTCAGGGAGTTGGAAAGGCCTGGCCACATCTTCACATGAAACAGTGTCTAGATGAAACCACAGCATCATTAAAGCTGCTCTGGCATAGCAGCCTCTAACGTCTGTACGCTGAGGTGTTCATCCTCTTCTACAAAAGCCATAGGAAACAAAACAGACAGAGGCTGCTGGGCAACAAAGACACTTGCCGTATTCTGAAAGCTATAGCAGTCTGGTACCTCTCGGGAATGGATTGCCTGCAGATCAATTCCTTTGAGGGCAAAGGAGATTTCAACTCTCACAAGCCTAAAGAAAACACAGTAAAAGGCACGAGTGTCAGTGTCTCTGTAATACTGTCCAACTCCCCCACTCCGCTCCTGGGGACTGAGACTTGATGTTCTGCTTACCGATAGAAATCCAGCCTGAAGAAAGGAGCCTGTGTCCAGCCCTTGGGTTCCTTGTCGAGCGCCTGGAGGTCTAGGTGAGTGCAGTCTAGAGCAACAGACAGACAAGGAATGGTCACTTCTGCAAGAGTCTGGCGCTGCAATGAGTACAGCATCCATGTGACGAGAATCAGGGCCCTTTGAACGTCTCAAAGCATCTGCCAGAAAGTATCGATAATCACAACACGGTGCCCAGTAACCCTTCCGCGGAGAAGCTGGCCAGTGCCACTTTTAGTGGGGACCTTGTCAACATCGCCAGTCTCGGGGAGAAGCAGGTGCCTCCTGACACAATGCACTGTGAAGGGCACAGCACCCATGTGACATTCCTTCTACAGACACATAACCTCAGCCAGCTGTGATGAACCAAACATGCCTGGCGGGCTATTCTCCTTGAAAATGCAGTGATCAGCAGAGCATGGGTGGCATGGGTCTTTAGTCCCAGCATTCGGGAGGTGGAGGCAGGAGGATCTCTGTGAGTTCAAGATACAAGGCCGTTGAGAACAAGAGGACAACTCTGGTGTGCCCTGCTAAACCCTCCCAGCCTCCGGTGCTTAATAAAAATGTGTTCCCCTGGGCCAAACACCCCGTGGGGCATGGAACTGAACAGACAGTTCATGAAACAGCATGCTACAGACAACGTGCTTCCGCCAAGTATGTCCTCTGGTTAATGAACTGTTGTCTCTAATCCTCAACTCAAGTGCGGGAGATGGAAAGTGCTGATACCATGTCACCGCTGAAGAGATGGAGGCAGAGATGTCAAGGAGCTTCTCTACTTCTCTATGGTTGTGCAATGGTTGGCTGTCTATAAGATACACAACCACCCATTCTTGCCTCCACATCCCAAGTTCTCCCAAGGCTGACCTTTCTTCTTGGTTTTAGACCCCTTTTCTTGCATACCCTAGAGGAAGCCTGCTAATGTAAACATGCATAGGTTGATCTCACGAATTGGAGGAAGCTTAGTTCTTCAAATTTCCTCTTACTTTGCGATTCCAAAGCTACGTGTTAGCTGATAATTCAGCTAACAACAGCCTGTAAGCCACTCTAGCAAATCCCATATATATATGGGATAAACACACTCGCGTGCGTGCGCGCGCGTGCGCGCGCACACACACACACACACACACACACACATCTCCTCACCCCAAATCCAAAACATTCGTGGTCCCACAAATATTGGATAAGGAACACTCAAGCTGTATTAAAATGATGGCCACTTAATTGTTAGGGGATTTTATTTACAGGATTCCCAACAGTCCCTTTAGTAAGGCAGAACGGTAAAGATACATTTTTTTTTTAAGCAGAAGAGGGAGTCATGTCCATCAGAATAAACAAAAGCTAAAGTCAACTTGATCTACATAAGCTTTTGCAGCTTGAGCTTCAGCCCACTAGGTGGCTGGCCACACAGGCGATTGTCTGCATTTGAAACCTGAGGGAAATGCCACGTTTACAAGTAGCTAAGACAGGACAGCATCTACCAAGTCTTCTACTTTACCTACAGCCACATCCCAAGGGAGTCAAATGTGACCCACTATCTGGAGGCCTCCAGCGATGTGAAAATTCAATCCATAATTACCTCATTAGCAGATATTCTCTGATGTATACAAGAAAATTAAGAATCACATTTTTAAAAACCTTTATACCTTTTCAGAACATTTACAGATTCTCATCGACAGTTACAATGAATAAGATCAGAGAAAGCAATCTCTCCTAAAATCAGACTAATAAGCTACCTCTCTCCATTTACTCTAAAATATCCCATATACTTCAGGAAGGAGATGAACAGTGTCACCACTGTACAATAGTTGGGAAATAAATAAACCTTGCTTTTTAGCCCTGTTCATCTTCTCTAGCCACTGATACTGATCACGTTTCTTAAAGAAATAGCTATATTTCATTAAGCATTTTCCCCAGAAAATGTAATCAGGGGGAACAAAAGCAAAACAAGGCATATGTGCCACTGGGAACTGCTGTATGGCACATCCTACCTGAGTCATGCACTTCAAAAGGAAAATGGTACCAGGACCAGCCTTCAGCCCCGACTGTGATGTGCTCCCATGTCAGTTAGAGGAACAGTCTGCATGGGGAGGCTTGGCTGAGCTCCATGTAAGAGATTGCAAGTGAGCCCTACTGGGTAGCTATTCCCTCTGGCCTTGAGCATTCCCTCAGGGACGTGGACACTGAGGGTGAGGGCTGCTAAGACTCAGAAAGCTAAGGAGACTTACAGGGCTCAAGAAACACTCAAAGCTACAAGATCCATGGAGCGATCTCCGAAGTCACAAAAGCAGTGGACTCTTGCTGGGTCACATGACTTCTTAGTGGACAAGGGGCTCCATGGGATGTGGGATGCAGCTTTTGAAAGTCACCACCTGTGCTGGGTGCACCGGCTTGCCATAGAGTGTGGCTGCATTTGAGTCACCCTCACTCCTGTATACAACCCCAACCAATTCATCGGTTCACTAGCGACTGTGTGTGGAGTCAGCTCTTTGGTCTGTCATTGGTGTCCTATCCTCATCAAATACACATTTGTTCACATTTCCCTAGGGAAAGTCATATAACTACAAACAGGTCTCAGGCAAGCAAAAGCCACCACCTTGGAAGACCAGGAACATTTCTATGGTGGTGGTTGAATTACCAAGCAACTGGCCCCAGGATGGACTTTAACAGCAGTCTCGAAGCCAGACACTGCCTGGGCCAGTGTGACCCACTGACCGCTTCTTCCAGGACCCAGAGCCCAGGGCCCATTTGCTCACATATGGATTCTAAACAGTCAACTCAATGAAGCAGGTAAAATCCCTGTCCTGTGGGGGTGTTAACCTCCTGTGTTACCAAAACACCTCAAGATCAGAATAAGAAATACGGCTAAACAGCCTATGAGATGTCATTTAACTAAAGCCTACCCCACTGCTAGGACCCCTCCGCCTGAACTGCCTGGTACTTAAAAGCCAAAACAGGTTGGCTTTGGCAACCCCATGACAGGAAACAAACGGTGAGTGCCTTGTGTCTGTTGACTCAATAGCAAAACTCCGAAGTCTTGAAGCACATGCTGTGTGCTCACATGTCCTTTTACATTGTTAACAGAATGGCCCACAGTGGCTGCATGGCTAGCTGGTAAGTTTCTGTCAAGCAGTCTCCTAAGAGAATAAAAGTCATTAACCTCGACGCACCTTTGAAGAACACTGTATATTTTATAAGGAATAGGGAGGGTACGGTGGTCACACCCTTGGACCCATACTTGGGAAGTGAAAGCAGAAAGTTAGGTGGGTAAGAACACATCCTGCAGAATTTTTGGAAGTATCAAAGAGGCAAACCAAAGCAGTGCTCCCTCCCCATCGCCAGAACCTTCGGAGGGCACTGTGTAAGTGACAGCCTGTGCCTGAGGAAGCCTGCTCTATTGAGCTCCAAAGAGCTGCTAGCACATGGGAGCCATTTTGCTCATCACAGAAAACAACAAAGTCACATGATGAAATGGTCACCGATATTACCTGACTCAATGTCAGTGTCAATATTCAGAGTCTCGTTTGAGGAAAGCATGGCGCCTGTCTTGTAATGCTGCTTACAGAATCTCAAGCCAGTTGTGTTGTCTCCATTTTCTCCATAATCAATGGTTGCCAGGGAAATGTTCTTTAGGTGATGATACTGTTTTAAAAAAAAAAAAAGTTAAACTATAGTCAAATACACACACGAGTTCTTAAAAACAATAAGTCATACCATATGGAATGCAATTTTAGCTACTTTTATCGCTTATACAATGCTTTTTGAGGAGCAGTGTCCAGTTCAACACAGCCTAAAGTCATGTTCTTCATTTGAATGGACACATTGCCTCATCGAACTCTACACCAAAGCAATATCCCTAGGGACACTCCTAACTTCTACCCAGCCAAAACCAAGGTCTTCCCCACCTCCCAGACTTTATCTCATACCGAGGTCCCTTGGTTCTAACTCTGTAAAACCAAACTGGCCTCCAGGCAGTTGCCAGAGCTTGACAGACATACTTCTTCCTCTGATCTTTTAGTTGCCTCTTTCTGGAACTCCATCTCTATCTGCTCAGTTCACTCCTTCAAGTCTTGACCAAATATCACCACTACAACAAGGTGTTCACTCACTTGGCTAATGAAAATTGCAAACACATACCAAAACTTCACTTTGTACCTCATTGTTATAACACATAATTATATGGTGGTTAAAATAATAAAAATAAGGAAAAATTCAAAACTGTAGAAAACAGCACTATTCATCTATCCCCAAACTCCTCATCTCCTTCCTCTCCTCACGTCACCGCTCACACTAACACAGCTAACACTCTTACATTAGCACATTCTGCTACTGGCTGCCTTCACTAACAGGGCTTCACTAGCGCACAACTTCACTGCTGTGACTTTACTATGAAACATTTACAATATCACAGGGATGCTGCAAACAACTCCTAATGATTTCAAGAATATTAATAAAAGAAAAGCTGAATGTGGAGGCACAGGCCTTTAATCCCAGCACTCAGGAGGCAAAAGTAATCTCTATGAGTTCAAGGCCATCCTGGTATACATAGCAAGTGAGATCCTGCCTCAAAAAATGAACAAAACAAACCCTTATTAACTTGGCTAAAATTAAAGATTTAGTCTTACAATTTCAGGAACCTGTGACTTCTTCCCTAGCCTTCACATGCCCTGTCCACCAACTTTAAACAATTGCTACATTGTCTTCACCCAATTTTTATCAAGGCCCTTTCAAAAGGACCCCTACCCCACCAAGGCATCACTGAGAATGATCAAAGGAAATTTCTTCCTTGTCGCTGCCAACAAGAAACTCAGCTGTCCTTAGTAGCATGTTTTGGGGTTCTCTGTCGTTGAGGAGCCAGGCTTCAATACCATGCATCTCATTTCTCTTCATTTACCTAGCTCTCTCTCCTAGAAAGGCCAGAATTTTATCTGTTCTAGTCACTGCTACAGCATCAATCTGTAGAATTTGCCAAATACCAGGGACTTAAATACTTATTGAATTAATGAAAGGGAAAACAAAAAACAAAACACTACCCCAAATGCTTTCATCAAATCTACCTCTCTCACACTGTTTCATGTCCCATATTCTTAATATTTAGCTAGGATTATTAATGCTTATGGCATCAAATCTGAGACTACTACACACTCTCAGAGTGTGTTTCAAACCTTCACAGAACCTGATTTTATAATCCCTTAACTCTTTAGTCTGGGATACTCTCCCCCAAAGTAGTGCTTCTAAAACAATAAACTAAAAAGATTAAAACCTAGAGAAAATTTTTAATGGGTAAGTTCTATTATTAGTGCCTGAAGTAGCAGTAAAGATGTTGCCAAGCTATGCAAAATTTACGTGAGACAATATTTGTTGGTTTGCTAAGACAGCACAGCCACACAGCAATGTAGCCTTTAAAAATAGACCGTTTAAAACACTTGCCTGCTTTATAGCAAAAAAGATGCTCTCATAGGTGTCCTCTTGGGTGTATACGCTACAGCTATAGTCATCTTCATCAACGCCAGAAAAGCCTTTCAAAAACAGGTGCTTAAAAGCAAGCGTATTATCTTCTTTGAAGGCCACCACCAACTGGTTACCCAAGCCAAACCGAACAAGCTACAAAACAAAACACAAGAATGTGGCTTTAACCGTTTACTAGGGGAAGTGAATGGCTTTGGATTCTCAGCAATTCTCACCTCTAAGCATCTGAAAAAAAAAAAATCCATTCCCTGATTTACCCAGTAAGAGCATGAAAGATAGTCACCTCATTGCACTATGTCAGAAACTCTTAGTATAAGAGTGTTGAGACTCAGAAAACACCCCAAAGAATAGGGCTGGGACGCGCCGGACCTTGAGCTGAGGAAGCAGCCTAAAGGCTTCTCCCACCCTATCTCTCCTGAGACTTTCTCTGGGGTTCCTTCACCTGACAGAAGTGCCCTCAGAGAGACAGAACTGTCATGTGCTTCTCTGTCTCATCAAGCAGGGAAGAACAGATGACTCATAGAAAAGACAGTTGACACAGCACCCAGGACTTTGCTCCTGGCTGTTTTCTATCCTTTCGGATGTCTGCTCCCTTAAAAACCACTTACTGATAGGCATAGCGACCACTCCTGCAAAACCAACATTGAGGAGGCAAAAGAAGGCTTGCCATGAGTTCGAGGCCAGCGGGGTTATATAATGAGACCCTTTCTCAACAGCCCCCTCCCCAAACCATCTTTTTACTGACATCCGGTTAAATACTCAAAGGGGTCTCTTTACCAAGAACAATAGTTTTCCTCTTAGACTCCATAAGAGGGAAACAGCTAGCACCAAAGGTTTATAAGAAACCAGGAAGCTGCACATGTCCTGCCCAGGCACATGCTGAAACACAGGCATGACCCCCTTCACACACACTGTGCACGTGTGCACACACCTTCACCCCTGTACTCTGTCACACACAGCACACTCTCACTCAAAGATGCCAGTACTGGTATCTCCTGCAAGGGAGCTGAGGAAAGGTCAGGTGGTCTTCTCAAAGCTAAAACTATAAACTAGGGAAGCAACACACAGGATTGTCTGGAAGACTTAGAAGAGGCCATTCCATCCCCGCACAGCCTGAGCAGCAGCCCCTTGAATGGAACACTCCAATCATCGTGTGTAGGATGGCCCCTCCCCAAACTGGGGTGAGCGAGGGTCAGGTTGTACAGCATGCTGAATAATTACTCATCACAGAGTACCAAGGATTGTGGTTTGAAAAAATGTATAATGACTTTTCATTTAATCCCCCCATTAAACTGGACTCCGTGAGGAAGAGGCTTTGTTCGTTTGTTTGTTTCCATAGCACCACTGAAGCAGAAAGGGAACGGCACCCAACTGTGACCATCAAACTGACTTGAGTGATGTATGTAACACCATTGTGCACATTACAACCTGAAGTCAGGCCATATAGTCAGGTAAGTGTCCAAGGGGCCAAACACGGATTTGCCTGACACTACGGCCTGCTAGTCCTCTCAGCCACTCTGTCACACTCTCACAGCAAACGCTGCCACTTGACTCTAGACACAGGGGATTAGACTCTTCCTTCCCACACGCCCAGTGAAGTCAAAGGAACATAAAGTGTCTGAGCAAGGAATCGACAAACTGGTCAAGAATAGGGCATACACTTTGTTGATATTTAAAGCCACTGCCTTATTTAAACTTAAAGCCATCAACACAATCCTGAGATGAAGAGAGGGTGGCGCTCTGATCTCTGCCTGGAACCTCCTCTGTCTGGGATGAAGAACAGGACATTTCCCCAATTCTCTTGTTCCTAGAACAAACCAGTGTCCCTATGCACAGTCCAGCATCATCAGGGAAGGGCTGAAACTGCCGAAACTCTTAGGAGAGATGACCGTGAGAGGGAAATGGCATAGTCTCTGTGGCCTTGACGGAACCAACCTCTCCTGTGCAGCCAGAGCAGAGGAGGGAGGTGTGGACTAAAACTTTATTTTCAGAATGCAAGTGGTAGCAAGAAACTGCATTCCACACCACTAACTAGATGCCAAGATTTGCTGTGAACAAGATACAAAACAGACACAAACACAGACACAGACACAGACACACACACACACACACACACACACACACACACACACACACACCCCTACATGTACACACAGACACACAGTGTGACACACACC